GTCGTGTAGCCCCCTGAGAAACAAGGGCAGAGGTGGGGGTAGTCAGGGCCCAGAAGCCAGAGCCTACACTAAGCCCCTCCCGAGAGTATAGTCCATGCTGCCCCCTTGTCCGCAGTGCCAAGTGTCCCCTCCCCACCTCCCCTGAGACTCCTCTAGGGCCCTGCATGTGGATAAGGGGACCCCAGGGGCACAACCCTGTAGGCACCTGATGCTCCGCCCAGCGCCTTCCCCAGTGTGGAATTGATGATGGTGACCTGGTCCCTCACGCCCAGCAGCTCATCCGTGCCCCTGCAAGGAAAGCTGCCACTGCCTCTGCCACTATTGGCCGCCTGGTTTCCCACCCACCCTTAGAAGCCCAACCCAAGGCCTTAGGTGCCACATGTGCCCACCGTCCTGTGGCCCCCAGGAAGCCAGTGGCATGGCACTCGTCCACAAAGACCAGGGCACCATATCGAGATGCGAGTTGGCACATCTCCTTCAGGGGTGCAATGTCACCATCCATGGAGAAGACTCCATCAGTGGCCACCAGGCGTAGTCGATGCTTCTGCAGGGGAAGGCAAGGACAGGTGGCGGCTGGTGTCACGAGCTGGCCCAAACCACCCACCTTCTGAGCTACTTGGGGCTCCAGGAGCTCATTCTGCCCAGTGCCCAGCATAGAGGTGGGCACATAAGTACTCCTATGGTGGGACTGGCACATCTCCCTCACCTCTGCCTCTCTGAGCCTTACCCATCCCCTCCAGAGCAGTCGGGAGCACATGTAGCCCTGAGAGTGAGCATGCTCTCCGTGTCCCCTTCAGAGGGCAGCGTGGGGTGGGGCCAGTTCTTCCCATAAGTCCATCCCACCACTACGCCTAAGAGCCTGCCACACATAAGGTCCCCAAAGTGACATGATGCAATGGAAAAAAGCTCTGGGTCTGAGGGACTTGGGTGCAAATTTGGGCTGTTTCAAACTTGGCAGGCTGTCTTTGAGTGTGGAGTTGGCCTTGAAGATAAGCCCAGCCCTGGGCCCCAGAACCCCCGGGCCTTGCCCCACCTGAGCCTCCTTCAGCTTGGCCTCTAGATCGGCCATGTCCAGGTGGCGGTAGCGGAACTTGTGGGCCTTGCAAAGACGAATGCCATCGATGATGGAGGCATGGTTCAGCTCATCTGACAGGACTGCGTCCTCCTGGGTCAGCAGGGCCTGGAAGAAGGCAGTTGGAGCAGAACCATCACCCAACCACCTTGGTGTCCTCCCTCTCCTATGATTCCCGAGTCCAAATTTCACTGCCAGCCAGGGCATTTCTTTGGGCAGGGAGGCAAGGAGCCCTCTGCCTCTCTCTGGGCCCCTGCCACTGGAATATGTTTGGTGAGTGCCTGGCCCCTGCCACCCTCAGCCATCCAGCGGATGTAGGTTATCCCCAAATAGCCTGAAAGATAGCCTCCTTGCAAGCCTCAGGATTCTTTCTGGAGCACCTACTGCCTAACCTGATCTCCGTGAGAAATGATCACTGGAATCTCTAGCCATGGCACTGGCATCCTGCCAGGTTCTCCTGACTGCCCTCTCCTACAGCCTAGCAGGCCTCGCCAACTCCCACCCACGGCCCCGACACACCTCAAAGAGGCCCGCGTTGGCATCAAAACAGCTGGGGAAGAGAATGGCATCCTCACGCTGGTGGAAGCGGGCTATCTTTGCTTCTAGGTTCTTGTGGATGCTCTGAAGAAAGCGAGTGAGACAGGTGTGAATGCCTGCGGGGTCACATGGCACACGTCCTGGGGACAGAGGCTTAGGTGGTCATAAACACACCCAGCCTAGAAGGCCTCCAGCCCTGGCCTTTCCCTTCTTTCTTCACCACAAGGGTTCCTCAGAGCCAACAGGAATCTGGCAGATGGTTCTCACGGAGGAATTAGGGACTCGCTCGGTGTCCCTTCCTGGTCAGCTCTTCTTTTTGTAATGAGGGTTGGACAGTGAAATTATGGGTACTGATGGCAAAGGAAGATGTGTCTTGCTAATATCAAACCGAGTGTCTTTTTTGGTTGCTTTATGGCAAAGAAGAGGATTACATAAGTAACTAAGTTCATTTGGACCTTGAATTCTTAGATTGGAGAGCTGTCCCAGGATTTTGTTGGAAAGTGCCCTGACTTAGGTGTTCCATCATTCATTTCATCCTCAGCTTTCTGAGAGGATAGGTCATAATTACAAGTAGTCAGGAGCATGGACCCTTGAGCCAGGTCACCTGGGTTAAAATCCTACCATGAAAGCCTTAAGTTACTTCTCTTCTCTGGGCCTCAGTGTCCCCTTTAACAGGGGTGAAAACAACACTTATCACTGAGGATAGTTCCGAGCATTAATGAGTTAATGTTTGTAATGTTCTTAAAACAGTACCTGACACATAGTAAGCACAGTAAGTTTCATGTCTATGTAAATTTATTTTGAAACATTACAAAATAATAACCAACATTCATTGAGCACTGCTGTGTGTCAAGCACTGTTCTAAGCATTCTTAAATGTATTAACTCTGTAATTTGTAAAGATTCTATTAAGCACCATTATCCCCATTTTACCAATAAAGGGATTGAGACACAGAGAGGTTGTCACTTGCCCAGAGTAACAGAGTCAATCAAACGTGGTACTGGGCCCTCGCCGGGTGGTTCAATTAGTTGGAGTGTTGTCCCATACACGAAAAAGTTTCGTGTTCGATTCCTGGTCAGGGCATGTACCTAAGGTTGCGGGTTCAATCCCCTGTTGGGGTGTGTATGGGAGGCAACGGACGATGTTTCTTTCTTACATCCATGTCTCTTTCTACCTCCCTTCCTCTCTCTCTAAAATCAGTAAACATAACCTCAGGTGAGGATTAAAAAAATAATAATAAAAAGGTGGTGCTGGGAATTGGGCCTAGGCAGAATTGCTCCAGAGCCCTCTACCTCAATCCCTGCCTTCTATTCTTCCTTTCTGTAGGACCAGTGGACTCTGTTCTGCAGGTGGGAAAATAGATGCTGGGAGATGTGGTTTCTTGCCCAAACCTTCCCAGAAGCCTGAACCCAGTCTTTCTAGTGGATGGTTCTGGGGCCGAGAGTGGCCCACAGCCCTGGGATAGGATGAGCTGAGCTGGCTAAACCAGCCCTGCTGCCTGTGGGAAGCAGACAGCTGGGGACAAGGCCCCACTCCACCCGCCCCCTTCCCACATCAGCCACTGTATACCTGGGTCCCACAGATGAAGCGGACAGAACTAAGGCCAGCTCCAAACTCCTTCAGGTTCTTCAAACCTGCCTGGATCACCTCGGGGTGGCTGCTCAGGCCCAGGTAGTTGTTGGCACAGAAGTTAATGATTTCTGAAGTGGGGGACAGAAAACAGACAGCAGCTCAAGGCCCTAAGGAAAGGCCTGGAAAGGTGTCCGTGCTAGGCCCTGGGGACCCAGGCAGTAAATGAATCAGGATTCCCCTTGAGGAGGCAACCACGACACAGTATGATCCATTCTGGGGCAGAGGCCAGGATGGGGACCTGGCGGCCCCTAGAGGCACTGAATCCACCAGCTACAGGAGAGGAGAGGTCAGGAAAGGGTCTGAGTGGCATCTTGAAAGATGAGAAATTTAAACTCTGGCTCTGAATCACCCCCCTACCCCCACCCCCCACCCCAAGGAGGAACTCACAGGCTCCTCCCCTCCCTGAGGACACCAGCAACCCCTCATCTGAGCTTTGGTTACCTCATGGGTAAATGAACAGGGTTTGGTCAGATGCTCACTGCGGTTCTCAAACTTCACAGTTGACCTTGCTGCCTGATATAGAATCACAGGGCAACAAGGGGTGCCTCTGAGACCTGGACCTCGAATTATACCCGAGGAGGAAAAAGCGGCTTGAGGAAGGTTCACTCAGCCTGGGGCAGGCAAAAAGGGATGAGCACCTGGGGTCTCCTCATCCCCCATCTTTTGACCTGCTCCAAGCTTCCTGTGGGGGTGTGTGTGGGGAAGATAGGGATTTCCTGGGACCGCCATTTTACAAATGAGTGCAACAGCACCAAGGATTCCATGCCTACTTCCTGAGCAGAGGGTAGCCTTTACAACCAGTACCCACTTGGGATTGGCACGGACAGAGGGAGCCGGGTGGTCCAGTTCCTGGTGTGCCTCCTGCAGCAGCCCATGCGCCCCTTGCTCGCTGAGACTGGCCAGGAAGTTGGCCTCTCTGGCCCATGAGCTGACCTTCCAGCTCCACTACCAGAGGACCTGGACGAAAGCCCTGCTCCGCCTGCCGCTCGCTGGGGGCTTTGGGCAGCTCACTTCTGAGCCTTTCATTTGTAAAGCGGAGAGTTACAGCAGTCCACGTGCAGCTCTCGGAGGCCTGCACAGAGCAGCAGCTCCAGAAATGCCGGGTTTCTCGCTTCGCCTTCCCATCACCCGTCCTTGAAGCAGCTGGGCACCCAGCTGGGCTTGTCTCTTTTTTCTCACATTCTCCCAGGCTGGGTCTGGCCCCCTCTGCCCTCTTAATCAAACAAGTGCTCAAGGGCAAATCACCTCCCTTCGTGGAGACGGGTTTAACCAGATTTAACATGAGAAAAGTAGGTCTGATAGCTGGAACAGGGGCCGGTGGCTACGAGCGCAGGACCTCCATTCAGCGCAAGCCTCGGAACGGCCCTCTCACAGCCGCCCGAGTCCGACTCCCGGGAGGGGGCGTTACCTCCGGAGACGCCGTCGACGCGGATGCGCGGCCCCTGACGCGACGTGATGACCCGCTCGTTCTTCCAGGTGCCGGCCCCGCGGATCCCTTCCAGCTCCTCCTCCAGGATGCCACGCAGCTGGGCCAGCGCGGAGTGCGCGCAGCGGCCGGGGGCCCGGGAGGGCGCGGCGCGGAGCACGGAGACAGCCCACATC